AAAAAAAAAAAAAAATAACCACAAAAAGGAAAAAAGAAAAAAAAAAGAGAAAAATGGAAAAAAAAATAAAAAGTCAGGCTAGATTGTTGTAATTGATACAAACGTTTGATGTTACCGGGAGAGTAAACTACTTGGATCTGATTAATTTATCGTTTCTGTATGCTTTATTTATGGCTTATAAATGTGTATTCTGGTAGCGAACAGCCAGATTTTCACAAAACTATATTAAAGTGTTATTGGCGTTTTTTTTCCCTGAATCTTTTCTTCAGATTCCTACTATGCCCCCCTCCCCCCTCACGATTTGAAACCCCAAGGTAAAATAGATAAGGCGGGGGTTCCTTTTAAACGCGGGGTAGGAACTGGGAAAAAAAGGCTACTGGATGACAGATCTATCTGTTCTCTATGTTATAGACATGTGTATAGTCTTTAATACATATTTCTATAATCCTAGAGATCTGCAGGGAGAACAGCTCTGAAAAGTATGTCAGACATATAGCCACACATATATGAAAATGACATGAAAGGTGCTATGTACATATATGTGTATCTTAAATACTATGATCATATACGTGTAATGTACCTATAGCTGCAGGCTCTCCCTTTGCCTGAACGAGGGTGCTTGTGCCCGAAAGCTTGTGAAGAACACTTTTTCCAACTATTTAGTTGGTCTAATAAAAGATATCACATTTCCCAAAGAAACTTGTGTACCAATAGCTGTACATTTTACAGAGTATGCTTATATATGTATAGCTTAGATATATCATATGTATAGCTTAGAAATATCTCTGTATATAATATATATAAATATATATATCTTAGCTATTAAACCTAGATACATGAGTATGTGGGATCTTATACCCATATCTTAGCTCTAACAAAAATACCTCAGATGTTGTGCCAGTATCTTAATATATCCGCTATTATACCAGTAAATGACCTATCGCAGATATTACACTTGTACAGGAATAGCTCAGATCTTATGCCAATGTACAGATGTTAGGTACTTTATATGCCTAGGGATCATTTTTAAAGGCGCATACACTGTCGCCTGTCAAATGCTAACCGCCGAGGAACATTTTCAATGAACCCTGTTCGGGTTTTTCTCCTTTTAAAATAACCTCGCGGCGTGGAGGTTATTCCGGGATTACTAAAATCTCAGTTTTTCCCTGCCGGGCTATTCCCTCCGCCTTGATCCTTGTCCCCAGCAAGTTCCTCCTTGAGCCTTGTCCCCAGCAAAGCAGGTCCCCACCTGCCATGGGGGACCGGGCAGTCCTAGCCTGCCCCAGCCACCCCGGCGCCAGGGGATGGCAGCCCAGCCCGGCTGGAGGGTCCGGGGCGGTGGAGTCCGCAGAGGCCCCGCAAGGTATCAGTGACCGTGGAGGGCAGCGCTAGTTTAGCTGGGTGACTTGCTTGAATGGAAAGCAAGCAGCCCGGAGACAATTACTCTGATGAGAGGCGGGAGGGGCCGCCGGAGAAAAGGTGGATGCGGGTGAAGTCTGTCCGAGCTGTGATTTATAGAGCTAACAGCAGTCGCGCGTTAAGGCAGCTTCTGAGCCGTGTGGCCGGGGAGCAGGACTGGCCAGCTGTGCAACAGCAGCTGCACTGCTCACCCTCCCTCCCGCAGCCATACCCCTCTCCAAACTTAGGGCCCGATCCTGCCTCTCTTTCCCCTGTGGAAGAGTACTAGACACTTGAGCTCGGGCGGGGCGGGGAGGATGCAGAGAAGGGAGTCTTTTTTTCCATCAGACTAAATCGGAGTAAATCCTGAAGGGTGCTGAGCGTATATGCAGCCGCCGGCATCAGAAACGCCCCGTGTGGGTCTGGCATATCCCAAACATTTCCAAAGGGCACATCACTGCGTTTTCACGCCTGCTGTGAGCACTGCCAGTAGCAATAATAGCAGCATGGATGATGTATGCACTCTGATGAAAACAGCTGGATGTGTCCCTAAGCACCCGCTCGAGTGAACAGAACAACCCGGCTGCGAGTTCATATCTCACTGGCGCCCGCATGTAATCTCAGATCGCCGCCAGTCCCTCTCAGCGCAGATAAAACGGTTGAATAGATCAAAAATACAATTCAGCTGCAAGGGCCCGAAAACGCTGGAGTAATAAAAGTGCAGTGGAGCTGGGGTAAGACATAATAGTTTGTGAAGACCTTTCCTCAGAGTTCCGGCCAATGATCTCCGCCTGCAATCAGTCTGTATATGGGTATTTAGTTATTAAGAAGAAAATAGCTCTAAAAAGAGAGAGGGGAATTATATTTTTAATTTCCAGAAATATATGCATACACGTGTATCTATAGATCAGGCATATACTGAATATACATATAGTGTATATACATACATATAATATATATATGCACAGGTATACACAATAACTATATTACATACACGTATTGATATAATTTGCAGCTATGAAAACGCAAATATTCCCTCTTTTAGAGCTGTTTTCCTATGTGTAGACAACCACACTACATATGTGTGTGTATGCACATATATGTATATATGCACATACACACACACATAGTGTACACACCCACACTACATATGTGTGTGTATGCACATATATATGTATATATATACATACACACATACGCACACACACATATATATAAAGAGTGGGTGTGTCTACACTGATCTTTAATATAAATATACATACATACCTACATACATACCTACATGTCTCTCTCTGTGTGTGTATGTATACACACACATATACATACATACACAGATGTATGGATGTGTGTATATACAGATGTAGTTTTATGTATATACGCACACGCAGGACAACAGCTCTAAATATATTACCAGCTTCTATGAAGTGTTTAAAACATAATTGAGGTTGCAGTGAGGGTGAAAACTTCCCCATATTTGGTTAGTTACATACGAATAAGAGAGAACCGATTATACGATCTCATAATAAGTAGCTTTTGTGCAGAATTATATCTGTGTGTACACATACACGCTCTGCTCGTTTATATAAAACCACAGTACCTATGCTGTATTGTAAACAAACGATATATGGAGTGCATGGAGCTGTAGTCGCTGGTTTTTCCAAGGGAGCTGACCCTGTTAAATGAAAGGCCTTATAACCAAGGGTTGTTTTATAAACCAAGAACGGTGTATGATATTTTAAGATCTCCTTATGCTCTGAGACTTGCAAACCCTCCCCGAGATCTGCACCGGGTTTATCTTTTTTTTTTCATGCAATAAACTCTTCCCCTTTCCCAACCACTTGTTGTGTTCCCACGCGTTTAAGGAGTCATAGATTCTCCGTCTCCAAAATAACATTCAAATCCTTCTTAAAATTCCGCATTGTTCGGGGAAAAAGAAGAGGAGAGGGATAGGGGGAAAAAAAAACCCTCCAAAAACAAAACAACACTAGGATCCAGCCAGAAATCTGTCCGTCTCTATACTGCAAGGACACACACGTTGTGAACCACAGCATAAAATGTGTTTCATTATCACATAAAAGGCGCCCGTAGGGAAGGAGAATAGAAGCCGGGTGATGAGGCTGATTTGGAAACAATGGAGCACGCCAGTGATGCTCTAACCTGGTATGTTCTATATCACATGCCCATTGTTCCGCGCTAGTTGGAAACTACTTAGCTTCTCCCACCCCGCTGATCCCCAACAGATAAGATATAGTCCTGTCCGAATACAGAAAAAAGGATGTCACTGGCATGCCTGATCCTTTTTTGTTTCACATCCCCTTCCCCGCCTCCCCCTTCTTTTCCCGTCTTATTTCCCCTGGACACATTAAAATCCATACATCCTGGACTCAGTCGGGGAAAAAAATGGATCGCACACTATTTCTTTCCCCACATCCCCGCCACTCCAAGTGCTTAAGCAACCGTGATCTGTGAATAAACAAAGTCAGTAAACAAAAAAGGGGAGAGAGAGAGAGAGGGAGAGAGAGAGAGAGAGCGAGCAAAAAAAAAAAAAATCTAGATTCAAATTCCAGGAGGGTAAACTTTCAACACCACGTCATACTTCAGCAAATTTACACAGATATTATATTGTGTCCCTTTCAATTTTTTTTTTCCTTTTGAGCCATTGTGCTTAACTGAATTTTATAAAGCTGATCGATATCTTGGTAAAATATTCATTTTTAAACTAGCGGGCAGTGAAATCTTTGCTTTGTGCTAAAGTCAACAGTAGCACAGTTTGAGCTCAAATAAATGCTGTGATGCCTCCGCTCCAAGCAGTTGGTCGCGTCTCGCTAATGCTGGATTGTCATCGCCTTCAAATGCGCAGCTCAGGGGGGCACCAGGTAGGTGGATTCCGTGCCTATATCTATACCTATCTCTATCTGTTTTAGAAATTCCCATCTTCAGCTCCCCATTAAAGAAGCGAGCATCTCTTGCTTCCAATTAAAGCCAGGGGGAGAAACACTTGCCAGGCTGGCAGAGGGGAGGGTGCAAGGTCAGCTCAAGGGGGCTTTTTGATCCTCTCTGAAGTTCTTGGAGTGAAACTGGATCGGTTGCAACCGGTCGAGGACCAGGATTTGAATCCCGGTGGCTGGGGACAGAGGCGAGGCAGCCTAGTTATTATTATGAGGAGCAGTGTTATCTTATTATTATTATTATAATTTATAATAAAAGGTGTGTGTTTGGGAGGAGGAAAAACTTCCTACTGGTAAAAATAAAGTGAGAAAAAAGGGAGGGGTGTGTGTGAAAAAAATAGGCAAATGCAGTAAAGAAATAGCGGGACCAGCATTTGGCAGAGAGCTTGCTGCACTTCCATCCAGCAGTGTCCGGGTCACTACAGAAACGGATTTCCTAGAGATCAGTCCACTGAAAGTTCACTAGTTTCCCCTCGCGTTTTGGTAGGCGAGCGGGGCTTTATGGTGATGCTGACGATTATTTTTAGTGGTAAATCAAGCAGGAGAGAGTTAATTCCCGGGGAATGCGGACCGCGATCGCCCAGGCGATTCTTTCGAGGTCGATTCCGGACTCTTTGGCTAATGTAACCTTGCGTTTTTTCTCCTGGCCGGGACACACCAAATCATTTTTATCTGCACGTCCCAGCGACCTCATCCCCTGTGCCCCCTGCTAGGAGTGCCTCACTGTGCTATCCTGAACGCACGTTTCATGAATGAAAGTCTTAAAGGGAAAATCAGATTGCGCATTTACATATGAATTCCTGTAACCTGCCGGTTTATGAAACTTCAAGCCAGGAGCAGCCCTGCATGCAGGAGCAGAGATGCCTCCGCAGGCGCTCAGCCCCAGACATGGGTGATGGCTCGCTCTCCCGGAGTCCTCCGGGATATTCCAGGGTTTTTTTCCGAGGGATGAGCGCACGGATCCCCTCTTCTGTCTGTGAACATTGTCATATCCATTACATGGGAAAGAAGAAACCGCCGTAGCCGAGTCTGAAGGTGCCACACACTCAAAAGGGAACACACTAAAAGTTCACCTGAAGGAAGATATTTGGTGAGGCTGCTTGGGGGAAAATAGCATAATATCGGATAACATCCTCCAGTCAAGAGACGCCTGTGTTATAGCCAGGGCTCTGACCGCAAAGCTCTGCTGGCATTTAATAGCTGGCTAGTATGTGCCCTCATAGAGCAAACAGAAGTGATGACCATTAACAAATCTGTGTACCTAGAAAATAAAATCCTGTGATAGATAGATAGATAGATAGGTAGATAAATAGATAGATCCAATGTGAATATGTGTATGTGTGTCTGTAAATATCCAGTGGATATATCCAGTGTCCAGTGTGTGTGTACAAGTATAGGACACACACACGCACA